TTAGAGACTAACAAATTTATTAGAGCATAAGCTTTCGTGGACTACAGCATCCGAATTTCTTAGAGACTAACAAATTTATTAGAGCATAAGCTTTCGTGGACTACTACAGTAGTCCACGAAAGCTTATGCTCTAATAAATTTGTTAGTCTCTAAGGTGCCACAAGTACTCCTGTTCTTTTTGCGGATACAGACTAACACGGCTGCTACTCTGAAACCTGAGCAAAGAAGGTGTCATTTGTAATACTATTTGTATGAGTTTAGTGAGGAAGGATGGGGATAGATTTCCAGTGTTGTTTAATAAGGGTTTAACGAAATAGTTTTTAGTCAAGTTGGTTGAAAAATGCGAAAGGAGGGGAGAATTGCAAATAAAAAAAAAAAAGCGAAGTCAATTCCTTTTGTGGGTTTTGAAAAGGAATTGTTTTTATTTATTTTGGTTTTGTGAACATTTTTATTGAAATCTTGATGTTTAATTTTTTTTAATCTCTCTCTCTCTCCTCTAATTTCTTTTATCCATTTTGCCACTGAAAAAGGGAGGATGGAAGAAGGGAAAAAAAGAGGAGAATGGAGGGGGAAAAAATGAAAAAACAGTAAACCAAAAACAACCACATTTTTCGTTTTCCAATGGTGTAGATAAAAAAGAAATCATGAACATTTCCAATTTGGGTAAAAAGGCCAGTTTTGATTCCTTTTTAATTGTTCCTTGGAAAAAGTTCTGCTGACTCTAGTTTTTCGCAGGAAAGCTCTTGGGGGCTTTATTTTTGTCCTGTCCCCAGCAGACTGTCAGCGATTAACAACTCCCAATCATCAAACAAAGGCTGAAGGTGTAAAAGAAAAGCCTGTTGACACACCAGGTTAGACACTACAAGGCGAGACTTTTGCAATTGACTCAAATGGGGCCAAACTCCAATTGGGGGCCAGGACTCCAGCCAGACTCTCCCACAGCACAGCGGGACACGGGGAGCGGCCAAGTGGGGGTTTAAAAGCCTTTAACAATGAGATCACTTCACAGTTGCGCCGTGGTGAGAATAGCTCGGTTCTTCCCCTGCTCAGGAGGGCAAAGTGGGCGCAGTTTGCCTTGTTTTGCGTTGCTCGTTTGGCACCTAGAGAGGTTTGAACCTGGACCCACTGATCTCAGTGGAAAAGCTCCCACTCACTTCAACGGGACAGGATTAGACCCCAATAGGTCTCCAGTTTCAAACGTGTAACAAAAATAAGCCGTTCTCCCTTCAGCCTGGAGAGGAGTCGCTTTGGGATGAATTCCCACCCTACTCCATGTTAATGTGCCATGCCCAGCGCACGTGGCCCAGGTCTAGTCACCCTGCTGATGTGAAACTGGAACGAATGCAGAATTGTTAATCATTCCCTGGCTTGATTATCATCTGCAATCGCCCTTCCTCCAGGGCTCATCAGCAGGAACCCCGGGAAAGCCCGGGCACTTAGGAGAACCAGGCCCGCAGAACGGCTTCCTGGTAGTCCCCATGGCTTCCCTGTTTGTATTCAAGGCTTGGTCCAAACCCACTGAGGTCCAGAGGAAGGCTCCCATTTTTCAGTGAATTGCTTTGCTTTAAGAGAGCCCTGCAACGTGTAAGTCTCACCCCGCCCTACAACGGGTGAAAACATTGCTGAGAGGGGGTTGCAGTCATGGTTGCCCTAAATCTCTCTTGCTGTTTGAACTGGCTTGGGAGTCGTTTGATTCTTCCTCTATAGAAGACCTTACCCCTTCTTTGGTTCCAGCCCCAGCCACCGCACTGCCCAAAAGGCCTGGCCAGGGAAGCAAAGTTGGGAGAACTTTCCCTAAATCCGTTAAGAGGCTTCCTCCACCCGTAGGAAAACCGTTGCATTTCCCCGCCTGTTCAAGCGGCCTGGGCGCTGCAAGACTCTCAGGTTTCCACCAAGGTAAAAAAAAAAAAAAAGGAAGGTGTCGGCTTTGCAAGCAGTGTCCCACCCCTCTCCGTTGCTGGAAGGCATCTCCATCACCGCGCTCGGGGAGCCAGACCGCTGAAGATCGGTGCACGCCTGCAAAGCAGACACACAAACACACACACACACACACAGAGCAAAAATGCCCGGAGCTGCTCGGCTGCGCGCACAGGTCAGACGCCTGGAACGGCCGGTGTGTTGTTCCCACACGAGCGTGTGCCTGTGCAAAAAGCCGATTGCCTCTGCACCAGGCTCCCGGGACGCTGGCGCGCGCCCGGGTCGCCCTGCACACTCACAATGGGTGTCGCTGCTGCAGCAGCGCTGGGTAGGGAGCCCGCAAATCCAGCGCCCAATAAAGCAAAGCCTATTGTGTTGGGGACTGATAAACTGATCAAACAAGCAAAGCCCCCGGGAAAGCCGGCGTGGCGGGGG